TAAATGCATCCCTCCAAAAATGCATGCTATGTCTCATTCCCAACCTCGGGAATTAGAGATAAATGCACACCCTACATATTCTGCATTGCACGGTCTTCCCCCATCTCCGTTCATATAAAACCACCCTCTCTAAATATACGCCCGTGACTTTTACGTGATTTATTTGCCAAATAAATTCGTGTTAAACGTTATTTATATCTATTTATTATTTTTGTTACCTCTTTTTAATATTAATAAAGGATGAAGTAAGCTACTATTGCTTATAAAGGATTAAATGAATGTCTGCTGCTTCTTCCTTTTTAATTGACAAAGAGTTATTAGAATAATAATGATAAATACACAAATGGAGAAAATTATATATATACGCGAAATTAAAAAAAACAAAGGATAAAAGATCACAAATTTTTTCGAAATTTTATGTTTAATAAAAGTAACCAAAATAAAATAAAAACAATTAAGACAGGTTAATGCCCTTGAGCAATTTATTAATTTAAAAAAAAAAAAAATTCAATGAAGCAAACCACAATGGAACAATTTTTTAGTCAACAATAATATTAATATTAATGTAATAATAATAGTAATTTAAAATTGTACAATAATTTTTATTAGTATTACGTGCAACCAATAAAATTCTTTCCCTCCATAAATGCGCGCTCTCATCCATTCCCAAGGGGGTGCACTTATGGAGGGTTTACTGTATTTTGTTTTCTTTCCAATGCCGTAAAAACCTTTCTACTTTCAATGACACCTGATAGCCTTCCGTTTTTTCTCTTTTAACTTGTGCCTAATGAATTTAATAATTACTTACAAGAATAAGAAAAAATCTATGTATATTTTTTTTTGTCATAATGCATTATTATCTATTATATCGATTTATACCGAGATAAAATCGTTATATCTAAGAACTATTGCCTTTTGATCAATTAATGAAGGAGATTTTAGTAGACAATTACTTTTTCTTATAAACAATAAACCATTACTTTTTCAATTAATAAAACCATTACTTTTTCCTTTCTAAAACTTGTTTATATACATTAACCTTCAGAACCTAAGCTACAAGCTTGTATTTTTTTGTGTTTTTGTGTAATTTATATAAATGGGATGTCCAAATTTTTTTTAGCTGGAATTGCGTTTTTGATAATTATAACTCGGATCACCATGCTCGCCATTCATGCCCGACTTTTCAAGTTTACCTGTGTATAATAATTTAGATTGTTCAATTTGGATTATCTGGTGAAATCTGACGGCTAGATGATGAGTTAAGTTAGAGGCAGTACTTTTTTATATGTTCTACATATATAAATTATCCTAAAAACACACGGGAAAAGGGATATAAACGAGGCATGACCGTAAATAATATTATTGTCTTTAAATCAAAGAAAAATTGTTCCATTGCATTAGATTTTATTTCTCTTAGTTTTCTCATGGGTTTATATCTTTTTAATTGCTCCACTAATTTGATTAAAATGATTGCAATTAACAATATTCTTGGCAATATAAAAAGATCAACAGAAAGTTTTCGTAGTTAGCCTATAGAAATTACTTTGAGGCTAAGCCGGATTATAGTTGAGGTAACATCTGGATTTTTGGCTGAAAATTTGGCTTTTTTAATAAGTGGTGTGACTGTTCTGAAAATCTTTGTTATAAGCCATACACAGGTATATAGAAAGCAATTTTTGCGTCATATGAAATTATAGGACTGGTAGAAATTCCTTAGCACTAAAATATACAATGAAATACATCATACTGTGTTTGATATTTCATATTTATCATATGTGCTACCTACCGTTAAGGGAATAGCTGATTTGATTTCATACTGTGTTTGCAATGTTATTGTGTATGATATTTCTTCATTAGCAAAAAACCGGATTATTTTGATAAAAATAGTTCGAGTTTTAGGAAAAACATTATCATTTGTGATGGGCGTGGGTGGATAAAACACTGCAAAAAAGAAATTATTTATTATATAATGTGAATTAGTTAAAATTTTGGGGTAGGGTGTTTGAATACGAAATTCTGATTGGCTAATTTGAATTTCACATTGCACAACAATGCCAAGAATGGCTTTGGGGCTTTGTATTTAAATGAAATAAATTATTTTTAGAATAGAATGACATTAACAATTATGGAATTTATTACAATTAAAAATTAATTAATTTTCAATTACACAGCCATCAATTCAAACAAAAGGATTTCATCATACACACATCACACATATTTTTTCATTCGTTTTCCGGTACTAATAATTAATTTTATTATTATTTTTACCGTAAAAAAAATATGTTAATTTCTACATGCAAAGACGAATTTACAAAAATCCAGAATGGAGTTATACTTGATTTATCGGTAAGTATACATTCTTGACAAGCAAATAAATGTTTTGCTAATTATTCTCCAATTCAATCAATTAATCAAAATCTTTCTTTAGCCATTATGTACGAAGTTTTTTAACTCAAAATCAAAAGGCTTTGAAGACTATAATATCTATGACAATGATGATGATGATGAATTAGAATCTTTCGACCAAGAATTACATCGAAGTTACAATCTTATGTATTTTGTTCCTAGAGAAAACCTAAATAAACGACAAGTTGCTCGAGACGAATATGTAGATGCAGAAGAGAATGAAGAAGAGGGAAACGATGACAATGATCTGGCACTTAAAAAACGAAGCATAGTTAAACCTTCGAAAAGAAAGCCAAAAGAACAATCAAATAATTCAACACCATCAGAAACATCATCGCCTTCACCTCTGCTAATAAAACCATCTGATGTGTCATCTGCGCCACCAATAAGTAGTAGTAGTTCAATTGAAGAACAATCTACAAGAACTTTTAATGGTGATGAAATTTTATCGACATCATCATCATCTTCATCACCATCACAGTTATCATCACCATCATCATCTCCAACGCCACCATTACAGTCGTCACAGCCATCACCATCATCATTACCGACAACAGGCGTGGTTAATTCTGAAGATAATAAATTCAACAAATCAGTTCCAGTAAAAGATGCTTTGTATTGGTGGAGGAACGATCCTCTTGTTAGTATCCATCATGAACATTGGCACATAGTTTTTGCTGCTGACGAAGTTGATGGTGTAAAAAAAGATAGGGAAGGGGAAAGTTTTATTTATATGCACAGATTCATGTTAGCAAGGTAATTAATTGATAGCATTAATGAACATATTAAAAGGCGTTTATACTTATTTAATCGTAATTGTATTTGTATTTTTATTAGATATGATGCTGAACGTCTTGCAGCCGGAGTAGGAAAAGTTACACCTTTGAAAAATTATCGAGATCCAATACCTGAAGCCTTTTATCCTCCTTCTCAATTGTACGAACCTGTTGACGAGAATGGATCGCATGTTCACTTTCCATCTCGTCCTCCTGGTCAAAAATTCCATGACACAAGTAATCAATAATTTAATTTAATAATAATAATAACATTATGATTTTTATATAAAATAAACATTATCATTATTTTTTTAGAATTTGATGGAGATGGAAAGAAAAAATCGAATTTTGTTACAGTTAAGGATTTGGAAAATACTTTGTTAGAAGTGGAGAATTGGATCGATGGCAATAATACTGAATCACACTCATTGAACTTGTTAAATGATTCTAATGGGAATGCTGATTTGGGTGCTGAAATTGAACAGACACTACATAATGTTGGGCATGCCATGCTTGCTTATATTATGACACCTAATAATCCTTCTGCTCCACCTGGTGTTTTGGTTGGTGCTCGTGCAGGATGTCGTGACCCGCTATTTTGGAGATGGCATCGTCACATTGACAACATTTATGTTAGATGGCAAACTCGATTAGGATTAAATATGTTCAGTAATGATATTCCGCCAGTGAAAATAAAAAATAGTGATATTTTCCTTGGATTTAAAGATGAGTTATTTAATCTTGATCAAAATGGTGATCATGATGGATGGCTTAATTATGCCAAGAATACAATTGGCGGTGTAAACTTTGATGAACCACTGGTAAATGTTACCGGATTCACCAATGAATTACAAACCACTATGAAAAAAAGAGTTCATATTTGGCGTGAAGATATTAATAATACAGAAATTGTAGAGTTTTTATATCCTAGAGAATTCTTTACTTTTTTCCGGATTGAAAATTTATCTTTTAAAGTAAGTATATAAATTATTAGTGATCAATAATGGATATTATTATATTGGGTGTAATTTAATAGAACATTTTTCTCACTCACCTCATCACTCCAATATTATTAATTAAGCCACTGCCGATAACATTCAGAGTTTTTATTGTTCCTGAAGTATTTATGGACTCATATGTCCACTGGATAGAATTTGACAAATTCAAAAGGATATTGAAACCATATGAGAAAACAATAATATCACAAGATAGTGATCAGGCAATTGGTATACGTAAACCAGCACAAAAATCTGTTAAACAAATGGAATCCACCATGATCACGCCCACATACCAGAATGAAATAGACGCTATGGCAGTAGATAAACAAGCTGAAACAATATTTTGTGGTTGTGGTTGGCCATACAATATGGTAATCCCAAGAGGAACAAAACAAGGTCTTCGATTTAAAATGATGGTATATGTATCGAATGGTAAGGATGACAGGGTCCCGGTTGCTCCAACATGTGGAAGTCAATTATTATGTGGTAGCAGGAAATGGAAAGACAAATATCCTGATAAACATCCTATGGGTTATCCATTTGATAGACCTTTTATAAACAATTCATTTTATCAAACATTTGCTCATTTACCGAATGTTGCTATACGTGATTTTGTTATTCGTTGGGTTGAAGATTTCCCTCTATTAGTTCCTTTGCATAATTAATTTTAGCGCACATATATATATATAGTGTATGTATTATTTATTATTTTTATTTATGTAATATAGGCATGTTATTATTAATTTTGTAAATACAAGAACAATTAGATTATTTAATTTTCCTCAAAAATAAAACGCGTGCGTTAAAAGGTTTATCTCGATTATATTTCACCTCTTCCGCAAAGCCTACTAATACAAATAATGATTCGATTACAAGATCTATATCTTCTTACACAATATCGTGCACAAGCATTACATCTACTACTTCTACCTCGAAAACCTACACCGATACGAAGACGCCTACTAATTTGCTGACTTTCGATAATTTCACTATCAAGATCATCACTATTATAGTCTTCGCCAATCGATTCATTTGTAGCATTTTCTTCACCTCGCTTGTTGTATTTTTGTTGTTCTTCCACCTCTTCAAGACAAGAGGATGAATCTTCTTTATTGGTGGTGGTAACTGATAATGATAAAGGTAGCGATGATGGTGATGATGGTGAAGAGGGGATTGATGCATTTGTTAGATATAATGTTAACAAAAAAATAAAATTTAACCGAATGATAAACATTGTAATTTTAGAATAATAATATAATTATTATTATTTATCATCCATCTTTTATATGTTTTTGTTTGATGGAAACTAAATTTTTAATCTATAAACATTTTATTAAGAAAACCTTAATTTGATTTACTTTTTTTTAATCTTTGATTAAAAAAGTTTTTTTTATTTCTTTATAAATAAATATAACGATCTTTGAGTTAAATTTCACAAATTAAACAAATTATTTGCGCTGCTGCCCCCGATTTTTTTATTGGTATTAAACAATATAATAAAAATGAATCTCACATTGTTAATTATTTTGTTTATAGGCAGGCACAGGTACTGCATATAGCAGACAGATAGTTTCACCGAAATACGATCATGTTGATAGTTGATAGTTGGAAATTTTCTAATGTTGGATCGGAACTATTCTCAAAAAATTTTTTTATTTTACCAAACTGTTAATACACGTGAGATACGGGTTGGGTATTTGGATGCGAAATTCCAATTGCCTAACTTAAATATGCCATTGTATCGTTTAAAAGATTGGTTGGATTTGAAAATGAGGAGCCTTATTTGTATGTTTAATAGTTTTTCTTCCCCTTGTAAAGAGAAAACCATGCCCAACAGGCATTTTAGTAATGACTTGCATCAAGGAATAAAATTTGTTACTTCGAATGGATCAGGGAATGTTGAAGTGAGAAGGATATACTTGTAAAGTTTGAAAGGTTGTTATTTAGTGTACTTGCATCTGCTTCATAAGGGCGCTGACATATATTAGCTAATATCGTGTCGCTTACTCCCAACCCATTTTGATCATGTGTATAACAATCATTTGCCTTCTTTAGATATCAACAAAATAACGAAAAAAAGAATTGATTTTAATATATTATGATCTCTTGAAAATTTCTGGATATTTGAATTAACCATCCCTTGACCAAACACCCTATCTGGTTCTGAGTGTAATAACGCCTACTTATCCTGCTAAAGGAAAATATAAAGAACAAAACTCATAGATTTTTGATGATTTCTCTCAAAAAAAAAAAAATATATATAATAATAAATGTCCTTATATAACAAAGAAAAGAAGCAAAATTGATTTGTTATTTATTTAAAAAGGATGGTGATGATGGTAGTATGCAACATGTAATCATTCTAGTTATTTTTAAAGAATGGTGACAGTTGTGAATTGTTGCAATTCATTGTCATTCTAGTTTTAATTTAAATAGCATGAATAAAAATATGAATTGTTACACATTCTTTAGTAATAATCTCAAAAAAAAAAAAAAAAAGAGTATGATGAAAGTAAAGTAAATAAATCATATTCTTCTTCAAATGAGCAAAAGTGACTATTTTAATGAATCTGAATTTTTGATATAAACCAATCCCTAGTTTATAAGAATTAAATTGTGAACAAAAAATAGTTTTTGACAAAAGGCCTTAATGTAATTTTACTGGTGCTGGTGGTAATATTACCATTAATGATTGTTCAATATATATTTATATATTCTTTTTATCATCAGTTATTGAATAATTTAAAAATTAAAGTTATTTTGTAGAAAAGTTTTCAATTAAAAACAATAATCAACAAACTGAAAAATGTTGGGTGAAACAGAAGTTGGTATTACTGCAATGGCTGGCATAGCCATTACATGACCAACATTGATGGAATTAGTGTTACCAGTCGACTAGTCGATTTGCATTCAGTCGCGACTAGAAAATTTTCTAGTCGACTGAGCTGCGACTAGATTTCAGTCATGACTACACTAGATTTCAATATTAATATTTTTACTGTAATTCGCGGTCTATAATAGAAGTGTGTGCATACTATACAAGTTATTTTATAGTAACAATAAAAATAATTTTTAATACTAATAAATGCAACAAACAACTTTTCCAAGGTTATCAAATTTATCCAGAAAATAATTAGGAATACTGTCATCATATATTCCTTCAGAACGGAAATTTAATTACAAATAAAAGAAATCGGTTAAATCCGTCAACAGTTAAAAATGTCATTTTTTTGAAAGAAAATTTACAAAAATATTTCAGAAGAATTGTAAATAAAATAAATTATTAATATTTATTAATTTAATAAAATTTTTTTGAAGAAAAAATTATTAGCATTTTGATTAAGCCATAATTGCATCTAATTGATGTTTGTATCAATATCGTGACTGAAATCTAGTCATGACTGAAACTAGTCGCGACTGAAACCTAGTTGCGACTAGAAAAAAATCCAGTCGACTAGTCACGACTTATGACCCTCTAGTCGACTTGCAACACTATATGGAATAACTTTTATACTCATTTTTAAGTTTAGCAGCATCAAATTATTTTTTACCTATCTTACCAATGATGAGGTAAAATAGGATCATCCTATTAGACATTTATTAATTATAAACAAATAATAAATATAATAATAAATTCTCTATGTTAATATTAATATGTTTTAAAGGTCAGTTGTCACATGTGACAAATTCAAATGTCCGCCATGCTATAATATTAGTATTTTTATCATATAGTCTGAAAGCCTACTAGTAAATGTTGAAAGTGTCAATATTTATCAGATATTCTTTTAAAATTAATCTTTTTTTTTAATGAATTATTGCTTAACTTAATAAACCAATAATTCTTTTATATTGTAATTAAATTATTGGTTAAATATTTCTAAGGCTCTTTGTGCTAAAATAATATCATAAATCTTGAGCAGTAGTTAGGTTTCTACTCAAATAAGGTTTACTCGAATAAAACAAACAATTTGAGTAAAACGAATAAAACGAATAAAACGAATAAAATGTATTATGAATAGAAACCATGCATCAATACTAAAATCCAAAAAGCAACAATAAATAAACAAACAAATAGCCTTTATTGCGAAATATTAATTTTGTTCCTTTAGTGTTAATGATTGAATTGATCACACAAGCAGTAGTCAATTTAAACAGCATTGTTTTTAAAGAATTTATTCGAAATGATATTATTAATGTTGCAATTTTTTTGATACGTATACATTAAAATTAATTTCAATTTTAATACAACGGATTCAATAACGCGTGAATTTAAATATCAATGGAATCTTTATTTAGACAGTTGTGTTACATCACTATTATATTTTTTTTTATGTAATCACGACATCAAGCCACTCCAAACGAATACTTTTATTGTAAAACGCGCATTGTAGATTTTTTTTGATATACAGTTAGACTCCTATATAGTCACACACCTCGGGATCATAGTGAAATTTCAAGAATTTTGGAGACTATACAGGACATGTTTTTACTATGATTAATTAGTAGCAAGGAATTTTTCAAATTAACAAAAAAACGTGACTATACTATGTTAAATTAATAAAACGTCACGACAAAATTACGTCGTTAAATAAAAAAAATATCAACATCACCACTAACTATTTTTTAACAATTATGTTTCAAAATTGAATATCAATGAAAATTTTTATTTTGAACATTGTTATATGTTTTATATATAGTGGTCAAATAAATGTGTAATTGAATATCGGTGAAATCTAGACAGTTATGTTATAATTTTTTTCTTTATAATAATTAGCATGTTAATAAATGTGTGAACCGAAATTGTTAACAGTTAATAAACGTGTGAATTGAATCTTTATTTAGACAGTTGTTGTTTTTTATGTGTCTATTTTTTTTAACAATTCTTTAGGTAAATCCGATTGTTCTTTTGTTTACAGTTGACAATTTATTAAAGAGTTGATGAAAAAATTTTTTTTGGAATCATATAAATATCAGTGTCTTTTTTCTTCATACTACTACTACTGCACAGTAACAATAGTGATGATGATGATAATCGTGTAAATAATCTAGATTTTTTTGATATATTGATACACTAGCTGGACAAAAGTATTTGATCACGTGTTTACACTAATTAATAAAAAACCTACATAACGAAATTTATAACATTATGCACCTAGGTTTTGATAATTATATTAATATATTCGAAATTTCACGTTGCTAGCTTTCATGTATCAAGTTCAATAAAAAATGTTGATCACCAAAATTTATTAATTTTTTTATTGATCGCAATTCAGATGTTATTACTAGAGATGTGCTATTCATAGTACCTGATTTTTTTTCACGCATAGTGCACATAATGCATATACAGTCTGCCCTTGTTTCAACGAAGTGGCTGGACATATAAGAAAATTTTATTCAACATTCGTTGAAACAAGGTCACT